TCAGAAGGAGGACACTGCCATAAAAAATGTTACTAACACCACTGATTACAATGACCTCGACAACTAATTCAGAGCTTATTCCGTTTTCTGCGGCGTAAATTGATAAGGAAGGTGGGTGCAATCCTATTCCAATTATAACCACACCATTTGGCTCTTGGAAAGTACTAAGATTTGCCTAAATGATTCTGAAAATGCATTTAGCCATGTGCACGTAAATAGTGTCGGACATGTTTGCGTTCTTAAGAAATGTAATTTCCGACATTCAAAACAGTAGAAAGCTTTGCTTATAGCCACTCAGGGATAAGGGATACCTGGCGAAAAGTCACGGAACTAAATTGATCTAAAAAAGATGTCGCTGCCACTTTTTCATGGACTTAATTAATTATCCATGCCAACTAAAACCAGTTTGAATCTTATTGACTTAAAGTTTGGAGAAACTTGTATCCTAGGGACAAAAAAAAATTATCAAAATACTCCTTGTCACTTGAAAAGGATTGTGAAGGCGACCTTCCCCTCCTTCTTCGGCGCGAATTGCTCGTCGTGTGGTCTTATGACGCTAATCTTTGCAAACTCCTCCCCACTACCCCCCCGCTCAATTAATGGTTTTATTGGCATAGTGCAATCCTAAAAATTTTAATGCAAGCAAACGTATGGACAATTTTTTTCTGGGGCAAGACAAATGACATTATATGAGCCAAAAATGTTTTCGTTTGCGATTACTTTAGGCAAATACCTGTCCAAGGAAAATCTTTTTGTCTTGTGATTCACTCGCTTCATCTGTGACAACTTTACTCAAAGGAAATGCAGGTTTGACAGATTTCAATTAAGAGCTTTTGTTCAACGTTAATTCACGTGCATTTTAGACGATCTTGACTTACCGCTTCGTCGAGCCTTTGACATAAGAAAAGAGGATTTAATGGTTTCTCATTAAAAAGTGATCCTGGTAGACCCCCAACACCTGCCATTTACTGTCTTATATGTGCTTGGACAGACACGACATTTGTTCTAACTATTTGTCATATTCCCTTAATACCAATTAATTTGCCATCCAAGAAATATTTTGACGACTCGAGTGTTGGAAAGACAGCTCGGAGATAGGTAAGGGTGACAAACAATTTTCATTTAAAGGCTGAGTGTCGTTGTGAGCGCAAAAACCTTGAATTTGAAGCAGTAAGCAAACAACTTATTAATGTGTTGTGCGCGGAGGCTTTCTTTGTTACAGTTGATCAGTGTGGTTGTGCTTAAAAAGAATGCTGTCTTTATTGATTTCAGTACATAACCTTACATTTTATTTACCAATCAATGGAAGACAAAAGAGATGAACTCTTTGATTTCATTCGATTGTGAAAAACTCACAATCTTTGGTGTAAATTCAATATTTTTGTGGTATCGCTTTGCGCTCCAAATTGTTTATGCAAAGAGTACAATTGTTCACATGTAGACACAATTCTGGAACAGTTTATTGACGAAGTTGC